TGATTACCATAAATCTACGTGAGGTTAGGGTGTGTAACGGCCTATTAAAATATTGCGGATTTTTTATGGGTATCAATACACACATATCAAACTTATTAAAACAAAAATTATATTTATTGAAATAAATAATTAACTAAATAGAATACTATTTTTTTAAAAAATTGAACCTCAAGACTAGCTCTACACTGAAATAGAGCCTTTTTTTTTTTAACATTTTTATAAAAAATATTTAGAACACTAATAATTAGTGTTTTTGGTTTCGATTATTAGTATTTTTTTACTTTTTTAAAAAAAAAAGATTTTAAAAAAAGCTCTATTTCAGTGTAAAGCTGGTTTAGAGCTTCAATTTAAAAAAAAATAGCATATTATTTAATTAATTATTTATTTCAAAAAATGTAATTTTATTTTAGTAAAATTTTATAGCAATAATTTATCGCTATAAATTTTACTAAAATAAAATTACATTTTTTGAAATAAATAAATAATTAAATAATATCTTTTTCTTTAAATTGAAGCTCTAACCAGCTTTACACTGACATAGAGCCATTTTTTTAATCTTTTTTTTTAAAAAAGTAAAAAAAAAATACTAATAATCGAAACCAAAAACACTAATTATTAGTGTTCTAAATATTTTTTATAAAAATATTAAAAAAAATAGCTCTATTTCAGTGTAGAGCTAGTATTCTATTTAGTTAATTATTTATTTCAATAAATGTAATTTTTGTTTTAATAAGATTGATATGTGTGCATTGATACCCATAAAAAATCCGCAATTAGTGATGATCATTAGTGACCATGCCTATTTAGAATTACAGAATTATTAAAAGACGTTAATTCTTCGATTTCCCACATAGGTGTATTGGAATCGTTGTTTACACCTTTTTGAAAACAGCTGTATATAAACAGTTTCAAGATTTGGTCTTTCTCATCCCTAGTGAAAGTGAATGATGAACAATATTATTCATCGAAACTACATTCGCATAATTATTAATAAAAAAAACCCCACCATACTGTATAATGGCAGATTATTTAATTGGCTAGTCTTTCTTTACGAAATTTTCGAAATATCCGGTTCCGGGTTTAACTGATCCTGATTTAATAACTCGATCCATTAATATATTGAAAAAGAAATCGGAAACTTGCAGTTTCTTTATGCCTTGCTTGGGTAATTACATTTCATAAGCCACAAAGTTTAAAGCTATTACAGGCTGTAGTAAATCTTGAAATAAGGAATTTGCAAGTGATCTTATATTTGTAGGTGTATCAAAGGTTTATACACGTACTGATTTTTTTTTTTTTCGATAGTGCTTTCTCTTTGACTAATGACAAAGATTTCTTTATGAATTTATTATAAATATAATTTTATAACAGCATTTATAGAATCTAAACACTTTAATTTTAAAATTTAGGGTCTAACACTTAATTCGGGCACTATACCACAAACTATTTTATTTTGCATTGTATGACAGAATATTTATCGAAGTTATTCGGTAAACATTAATTTGTTCGAATATTCATTGTACATACAAATAGGTCAATTCACAGACAAATTTATGTTAAGTAGTTTTATTTTATAGACAAGTTTAATAAAATATAGATATAAAAATATATTGCTTTATCTTAATTTAATCCTTATCCTAACCCTAATAAAAAAAAACTTTCTGCTTCCTACGTAACATACAGTAAAACAATTCTTACTATAAATAGGTTTCAGTTCTAATATAATGGTTAATGGAACCAAAAATTGAATGAAATATCTCTTCTCAGCAATGCAATTCCATCATCTACCTCGATAAAAATTTCTGCATAGGAATAATTGGCATGTCCCTACCGCCTGTATCGTTCAACAGCAACCAAAAACATTTCGACCTATATTCTTTTAGTTCATTTTCATGAACCGAATCAATAAAGTTGTTAACGTCATCGGAAGTTCCTAAGGTATACCATTCTGGTGACACTTTTTCGATAGTGAATTTTCCGACGCCAGGATTGAGATTTTTTAGTTTCAACGCAGCATCATACCATTGGTTTACCGTGTGTTCATCGGGAAATGCACCCATATATCTAGATATACGGTTGGTATTACGCGGAATGACATAAATATAGAATGGCATTTTTTTTTACTTATCAATTTTTTTTTAATTGATTTTGTTTTTTTGTTTTTTTTGAGAAGAGTTTTTTCCTTTATATAGTTATCAAAACTATCAAAACCGATGACTTTTAATACTATTCTGTGTATATTATGATTAAAAGGTTCTAATTTTTGAAAGTACAGTCAGACTTCCCAAATGCAACTCTCTAAATGCATGCTTTAGAATTTTCAATCTCTTTGCATAAACATGACACGCTAAAAATAATATGTACGGTACAAGAAATTTATAAATTTCTTAAATTATCGATTTAAATAAGTGGTCTCGAATCTCTTTGCATAGAGGTAATATGCCAAACCGAAATAAGTTACTATTAAGACTTCTCATCTTTATTCTATATAAAGTGGTGGTTTTTTAAATTTCCCGCACCGTACACATTTATTGATGCTATATAATAATTTATGCTTGTCTCTATAAGAGATTGTGGTTTTTAGATTTCTTGCACCGTACTTCAATTGGCGTTAAATTTTGACATTCTCAATAGCGGCTTATATGTCCTGTTCGTTCCAAAGTGTCAGAACTAAAAAGTGCATGACTCGTTGGGGTGCACGGTTGGGGTGTGTGACGCAAGTCTAATTACAAACATAGTGCAGGTATCGGTATATAGTGAAAATCATTAATTCAATTTTTTTATAATTGCTGCATGAATATCGTTACGTAGGCGTAAATAGTAAAACATAAAATTTAAATTGTAATAAGCAGACTCGCACAAATAAAATTACTACGTAGCGTTCGACCCGTGGCTCCGCCACGACAATTTCTTAAATACATATTTTATTATTTAAAGTTTCGTTACAATTTTACAATTTAGTTAGTAGACCACAATAACTTTAATTTTCCCGTACCAACAATTTTGGTTAAAATGTAAATGGCATAACTCGATTTTTACGTATCGATGATGCAATACGTAGATTGAAATATCGCATTAATTGCAGATGATCACGGGAATGTCGTAATAATTCAGGCCTACCGAATAATTGATTGCAATTAAATTTTATTATATGCGTAAAAAATTACAATCAATTAAAATAATCATA